AACTTGGATTGCACTAAAAATAAACCAAAAGGATTCAAAATTGCAGAGAGTCGGCTCTTGAAAGCTGCAGTCGGCTCTGGTGAAATGGAAGTGCAAAGAGCCAGCTCTGGAAGCTGCAGCCGGCTCTACAGGCAAAAATTTGAAGACCGTTGTTTGGCGCGCGCGGAGAAAAGACGCAAAGCCGGCTCTGGCTTTGTAGCCGGCTGTGAGGGTGCATTTAATGCACAACGATCGACTTATTTGAAGAATATTTGATGTATTTAAAGTCGAAGTTTCAAAGCCGACTCAAAGTCTTGCAGCCGGTTCTCGAGAAAAACAGAATGTGCTGCAAACTCGGATAGCCGGCTCTGAAAGTGTAAGTCGGCTCTACAAAGTCGGCTCTAGAAAGGTAAGCCGGCTTTCCTGACAATTCTGCAGCTCGAGGTTTGCGTTCTGCAAAGCATTTAATGACCCCCAACGGCTAGTAACGACTATTTTCGAGCAAGGGGCTATAAATATGGTTGGTAACAGATCTGAAGAAGTTTAAAGAGTATTGTATTGAATATCTTTATCTACCTACATGAGCTTTAACTTGAGTTTTTGATCTTTGAGAGATCTTTACTTGTAATCCTCTTCTTGTGCTATTAGTGAGTGATCTTGGGGATGTGTTGATTCCTTCAAGAGTGATCTGAAGAAAGGATCTTTGGGTTAAAGTGTAAAGGGGTGAGATTTGAGAGAAACCTTTCTTGTAAAGGATTGAGTGGCTCCTTTAAGCCACTATTGTTTTTGCTAGTGGAGAGTGTAGAGGAAATCCTTGGTGAGTGAAGCCAAGGTAGAGGATTAGGTTCCAAGTAGTTGGACCGAACCTCTATAAAATCATTGTGCAATCTCTTCTTCTCAACTCTCTCTTTAATTTTTGTTTGGTGGTTGCAAAGAGGCGAAAATTCTCCAACTCCAATTCACCCCCCCTCTTGGAGTGCATTGAGTCAACATACAAGGCCATGAATAATTAACTAGGTGACCAGAGAAGCATCAATAGATATAGAAAATGAGTAAGCAATTAATAATGGCTGTTGCATGCAAAAATAGATAAAGGTCTTAGTAGTATTAGTTTAGCATACCAAAAGCGTTTGCAATATTTCCTTCCCCAAATATGTGTATCACAGCAACACAAAGAATCATAAGGATGTAATTCACTTCTGGAGAGTAAACTTCTCCTTCATTGTTGGGAGACGTATGCACCACCTTCACTCGAGGAAAATAATCCAGCACAACAGATTGCTTTATAACAGAAAAAGTTGCAGATATCACGGATTGGCTGGCAACAATTGCAGCCAGTGTGGCTATGATGAAGATTGGCCAGTAAACAGCGTTTGGTATAAATTTGTAAATTCCATCCTTGAAATCATCAGGGTTCTTAATCAAATATGCTGTTTGCCCAGCATATGTTAAAACCAGAGATGGATATATTGTAAAGAAGAAAGCCATCTGTTGACAAAGATAGTATGAGGAATCCATTATTTACAAAAAGAATGAAGTCTCAGGGTAGAAATTATGGTTTACCTGAATGGAACTTTTGTTAAAATGACCTAGATCTGCAAACATTGCTTCAGAACCTATAAGTATAACATGATAGCAACATCAGGGTATGGAAAAGAGTTCTACGTATAAAAAAAGGTGAAAGAATCTAAAAAGAAGCAAAATTGCTCCCTATGCTTAATCCATCAATGTTGGGACAATTCAAAGATGCAAGCATCGACATAAAACATGAAAGACGAGCATTTCTAACAACAGCTTAGCTGAGACAATACTCACTAATTTCAAAACCTTATTTTTTAAGGGTTAAGGTAGAGAGTACAAACATCTATAATAGTTTACATTTAACTTCTTTCCTGATAAAAATAAATAAACAAGGTAATTTCTCATCAAAATCAATTAAAAATAGCGTTCTAACTCTGTCAAACAAGGATTAAATTTTAAATCATAAATTTGAGTCTCGTTATAATGCAAATCTGTCATCATTTTCTTGTTTTCTGCTTTTTCCTTCATTCAAGATGATGCTATTGCTTATTCTAAGTTATGATGAATGTGATTTCCAAAAAGCATCAACTAAAAGACCACTCCCAATCTTCATGGAAAAAGGCATGACAAAGAAAACTACAACTTATCACGTGTTTTAATCACATCACAGAAGACCAGAATTTTTGCATCATAGTTTTTTTCTGTATAATTGCATTCTGTTGATTGACTAACGTTTTCCTGTAAAATTTCCTTCCTCTTAGCTTTTCAACTTTCCTGTTAATGCATACTAAATAGTATGACAACAATTTAAATCGTGCAGCTAATTGTTTGTGTTTATAATGCCTATGGGCCGGTGATCATTGGAAATAGACAAATTAACACAAAAGAAAATAAACTGATTCATAATAATTATAAGTCAGTACTTTAAAATCAAGGCTTACCAGTGATGCTGAGGACGGTACCACCAAGCAGCAGCCACCCTTCTTTTCCATTTTTGGAAAAGAAATCAAAGACGTAACGAAGTGAGAGTGCCTTGAATACACTGGGGTAATGATGTACAATGCTATAAATCCCAACAATTGGAGCGCTCAAAGTCCATGCAGCCACGATGGGAGAAAACATAAAACTCACTCGAGAAGTGCCATATTTCTGTAGCAGGAAGAGAATAACAAGAACTACTGCAGAAAGGGCCTCCACCAGAGCTGTGGTGTTAACAAACAAATGAAGCATTAATGATAATGAATACCATCACATAACTAAAATTATAAAACCAGTTAACTTAAGCACCTAAAAATGATTTAATGTCCCCTAAGTTCATAACATGCATTATTAAACCACTTTGTGTTGCATTAATTGGTCATACTATTTACCACTTTAATAAGTTTGTGATATTTAAGTATAACTTGCCCAATTCTCCCTCTTTGTTTTTTCTTTTTTTGTTTTGATAGGACCAAATTCTCCCTTTTTTCACGATAAAATTTGTCAATTTCTTTCTGTCTTCAGAACATGGCCTTTGGTTCATTCAATT